AGATTTGAGACCACTAAATGACAGGATAGAAACTTTGAGAAATAGAGTATGAGAATTAGTACATGACGCCACGGAACGCGTAACAGTTAGCCGCGAAATGGATTCGCGAGTAAGAGCAAACGCCAAAACACTAGCTCAGATGGTGCGAGCAATGAAGTTGCACAACGAGGAACTGGTTAGGGAGCAGCTCACGCTAGATCAGAAGATTAACCAAACAAGGGACCAACTAACTAACTCTGTAAGGAAAGCCAGTTACACGAGGGAATTAGAAATACTAATAATGAAAATTTATACAGATATGACAAGCTTAGCTTTAAGCTTAGATATGGCAACGTTACACCGATTGACTGCCAGTTTGCTGCCCTCACACAAATTATTCGCGATCTTTCGCGATATTTACGTGCAATTGGAGCAAGGCTACTCGTTCATTACAGCCTTGAAACTGGAGAACATGCATTTGTTTTATGCATCTTCGGAGGTTGCAGTACTGGCTACGAGCGAAGCAATTCGTCTCACTGTCCAACTACCCTTAAGAACCGAACAGCGAACCTACACTGTTTACGAACCTATTCCCCTGCCCTCATTCGAACAAAATTTAGGCAAGTTTGTACAGGTACAAACAGGAAGGGGGAGACTAGCAGTGTCCTCCGATAAGAGAAGTTACATGATTTTACCGACAGGGTATGTTCAAAATTGTAGAGAGGGAAAGATTGCTATATGTAAAGGAACAGTTCCGACAGTTGAGAGAAATTACGAAACTTGTTTGAGCAGTTTATTTTTCGGAACAAGACAGGGATACGAGTCTTGCACGCGGGAAATTTTGTCAGAGAATTTTAGACCTGTGTTTAGGAAACACCCTTTTGAAAATTCATGGCTATATGTGGTGGGGAAGCTTACAAAGGTTGAGTGCAGATGTATAAGCTCTGAAGGATGCCCCATGAACGTAACGAGCATAGAAGGCACAGGCATCATCACGCAGTCGGATGGCTGTGACCTGATCATCGGACAGCTGACGCTGCCAGTCAGTCGGCAGTTCCAGTCCACGGCCGATTTGGACGGCCCAGGAATTGTTGCACCGCAGGCACCGGACTTCCTACACTCAGAGGAGGCCACCTATTTGAAGCAGCACCAAGGGTTGCTAGGAGGTGTATAGGTCGCATGGGAAGACCCGGAGGATGGATCTACTCCCGACACCGCCCCCAGGACGATGACTCAACTACGACAGCAGCTGGAGGCCAGACTCCTGACGCAGAGATGGGTATGCAGCGGAATCGTGGCCGGTTCGCTAGCAGCAGCCACAGTACTCGGTCTGTGTCTATGGAGACACCGACAAGCGTTACTCATCTTCCGAGCGCGAGGCGCTAGGGGAGGGCCATAGCATACAACACCAAGGGCTACAGCCCGGACCACCCGAAGGACGAGCCCAAGGGAGGGATCGACCAAGAGATGGCAACGGAAGGAGACCAGCAGACCAGAGACCTCGGGACCCCATCCGAGACTACAGTGTTCCGGTGAAGGAACCCAAACAAAGTGAAAGTGAATCAATGGGACAGAAAGAGAACAATAACAGACAATAAAGAAAATTGATGTAATAATTATATATGATATTTGTAACGTTGATGAAAAGTAGGTGAAAGAGACTGTTAGTAAGCATGTGTAGAAAACAAGTGTACTATTTCTCTTATAGGAAATATCGCACGTTTTGTGCGGGGGGATGTAATGGCACAAAGGGCATGTACATGTAGATATAGTTTTTTGGGGGTAAATTTGAATAGTAGCTAGACTGTAAGATTAAGAAACAGCAATGATCAAACGAACCAGGAAGCTTGGGTTTACAAAGAAGTGTGACAGGCAATACCTGAGTAATCAGCGTAATAACGCTGACATTGAGGAAGAAGCTATATGAAGTAGGTCATAAACACTATGGCAGGTGGAAAACGCTGAGTTGGAGGAGGCAGTAGACCCGAAAGAGTCAACCCCTTCTCGATAGGCAACCAATGAGAGGGCCACACCAACCCAAAATCACGTCAGAATGGGCAGGCCAATATACCCGGAACATGAAGAATTAGCAAAAAGAGGTTATATAAACCCTAGAAGACTCAATCAAAAAACCTTTTGCAGTTTGAATATTATTAAGTAACTTAGAGTTCAGCGGGAGGCTATCGCCGAGAGAGCGATGGCCATGAGTGGGCGTTGGTTGGTGATGGCGAGCATCTGTTTTCTCAGCTCAAGTAAGTGAAACGAACTTCATATAGCCATGAACATTAAGTGTGATAGTGATAATTGTAAAGTGTAAACCCCAGAGAAAGACAGTGCTAACTAGATTTATTAGGTTCGTTAAGAGATACAGAGGAGTAGAATACCAGACAGCAGGGGGACAGTAGATAGGACCAATGGTGGCTACAGGGTCATTATCAAGTGTAATACGAACCGATGAACGTCGGCAAAGTGTGTATATAGTATGTATATAACGACATAGGGAAATAGAATAGGATAGGAATGTGTGTGAGATTAATTCAACCTAGCATTCCTTCAAGTGTTACCCTCTTCCCTGACGACTCCAGGACCTCCCAAAGCTTCGGCGAATTAAGAGTTAAGCCAGAACAGGGACGTAAGCAATGATAAGTTCGCGAGTTTTCTTGAGATACAAGATGGTGGCAGCATACTAAACCGGGTGACAGAGCGGGATACCTCCACGCCCCCTGTCACCACGGCATAACAGTGGAGACAGCGGTGAGATAACCAGTCCACCCCTGTCGTAAGGGCATAACAGTGGTGGAAGCGGTGGGGATACCTCCACGCCCCCCGCCATAACAAACATAATTGAAAAATAACTTACTATAAACTTGAATTAATACAGAATCTCTGTTAAAAATAAATAAATTCTTGTTATTAACTGTGTATAAAAGCAATATATATGTATATATCAGTCTGGGTATTATTTAGTCATTACGTGTAGGCCTGTACATGTTATTTTCCATTCATTACCAGCAGAGGGATCCCTTACGAGCAGAAACCACTGTTCAAATTCTCCAGTATATTGGTTTTGGTGATGCAGTGTGCCATATACTTTAACCGTGAACACACCAAATTTAACTATCTTTCCAGTAACCCATTTTTTTTTCAAAATCTGGGTTGAAATATAAGTTGTGCTGGATTTTGGTATCACAGATCAGTTTCACAACATCATCTGCGCCGTTTTTTGCTTCAGCTGTAATACCCATTTCAGAATCTAAAACTAACTGCATTTTACACTTCTGCCAGAAATGCTCATATAGCTGTGTGCGCAGACAGTGCCTGTCATTCTGGTTCAGCGCTGAATAAAACCACTGTGCAAACTGAAAAGCCAGCTCATCAGCCTCACACCCTTCTACATCATCTCCTGGTTGTGTTGAATGGCGGTCCATAACAGGCACTGATGTCGACTGAAAAATTCAAAACGTCATTATAAAATACAGTGTAATACGAGGTGTGTTCAGGAAATAACGGGAATTTTAAAATTTCGTGGGTTTGGAGAGTCCAATTGTCAAAATTTTTTTTTATTATGTTGGTATACATGCCCCTGAAGTACAATAAAATTTTCAGCTGTATTCATTGCTTACTTTGTCTGTGGCAGCCGCTAAGGTTAGACGTGTTTTTATGAGCTTGGCGATTTTCGTTTGTTAAAAGAAATGGATCAAAGAATTTGTATCAAATTTTGCGTAAAAAATGAAATAAAGTGTTACAAAGTGTGTGAAATGTTAACAAAGGCCTATGGTGAGTCTGTTATGAGTAAAACAAGAGTTTACGAGTGGTATAAGCGTTTCCAAGATGGCCGTGAAGACGTTGCAGATGACGAGCGCCCCGGACGCCCCAGCACATCAACAACCGATGAAAACGTGGAAAAAGTGAAAGCAATGATTATGAATGATCGCCGAATCACAATCAGAGAAGTNACTGGCATCATCCACAGCAGGAGCCCTACTTTGATCAATGAACTGAAGAAGAAAAGAGTTTAGCACATATCCAGCAGAGAGTGCATGATTATAGACTGCAGAAGTTCTTTGGACTGTGATTAACAAATAATCGAATTCACTCATGTGAAAGGGCATTTATTACGTTAAAAAAAGATTGAACAAACTAAGAATAATATTACTTTTTGCAAAAACACGTGTTCATTTCAACTTAACAGAGGAAATGAGGAAAATAAATATTTGAATATAAAGAACAATTTGGCATATTTCGATTAACACTACATTTCAAGGTGTGTGTGTGCGTGCGCACGTGCAGAGATACAGGCCGGACAGATCTGTAGATACAGCTACAATCGTATGCCTGAAGGAAACTGCCTCCATCACTTCTAAGAAATACCATCCACAGGATATATTTAATACAGATCAGTGTGTGCTGTTTTTCAGCTTACTCTCAGACAAAACACATGCTTTCAAAGATTAAAGCTGTCATGGTGCATGACAATTAAAGATAGTAATACTGTGCTTCTATGTGCAAATATGGATGGATCTGAAAAGATGCCATTGCTAGTAACTGGACAGTCAGAGAAGCCAAGGTGCTTGAAGCATTTGAAGTTCCTGCCAAATATGTGGGTCATTTCATAATTAATGCACAGGTGGCAACACTGCGGATTAGATGACACAACAACAGTGAGCCTCATGTCAGGTACAGTTTAGGGCTTGAGAAAGAAGCGCGTTATTTTGTTTCACTTATAATGTACTCTGTTCTGAAATAACGTGAGTTTGAAATGGAGCCTGCACGGTTCTCGGGTATTGTGAATGTTGAAGATCAGAGGTCGTACATTAAGATCAAAACTTTACGTGGAAAGAAACCTGACAGAAATCCACAATGCTTTAAGTGAAGTTAACCGGAGCTAAAATCACAGTCCAATGAGTGGACTGTCCATCTTCCCCACGACCAAAAAAATTTCAACGATCTCAATCAAAGGTCAAACAAATGATGATCTTTGCTTATGATCGCCAAGGAATCATAAAGGCAGACAGAGTTCCATGCGGGAAAAGTATCACAGCAGTTTAGTATCATGACTTTATGCAAAATCTGCGCAAAAAAATGCACAAAAACTGACCTCAGTTGCTCAAGGCTGGGCCTTGGTGTCCTGGATGGAATAGTAAAGCTTCCCACATGTTGGGACTCGGTCATTGAGAAGCAGGGGGACTATATTGAAGGACTATAAAGAGATATTAAACAAAAATAAACATGGTCAAGAAAAAATAACATTTCCAAACAGACTTCAACTTAACCATGACGGCATGAACATAGTGTACATTTGAAAACCTGTGTATTCACATGCCCATGTTGATGGTCCTGTGATGCTGCAGAAAACAAGAACCTGCTAAGACATTGGGAAAAGATGGTCTTTATTGATGATTTTCTCAAAGAAATTGTAGACAGTCAAAGTACGAAGGGAGACCCAAAAATAACCGGAACCGACCTGTTGCGCGCGCATGCTTTGTTGTTACGAGTTGTGCTGCTAGGTGGTGTTAGCTGGGGGTCTCCCGCGACTGTTAGTGAGCTGGCGTCAGTCTGAGTTAAGTGGTTTGTCTGTGGTGCTCTGTTGTGTGCGTTCCTATTTCAACCCTTTGGCGATTAGTGAGATGGCCGACCAGAAGAAACAAAGAGTGTGCGTGAAATTTTGCTTTCTGTTAGGGAAAACTGCAGCCGAGACTGTTGGGATGCTTCGGCAAGCCTTTAATGATGATGCTTTGGAGAAATCACAGGTCTACGAGTGGTTTTCCCGTTTCAAATCTGGCAACATGTCAACAGGAAGAAATAACGATAACATTGCCAAAATCAAACGTGCAATTGATGAAGATCGTCGAAAGACCATTGACCAACTTTCTGAGGAAACGAACATCTCATGGAGCACGGTCCAGCGAATTTTAACCGAAGGTTTGCACATGAGACGGGTGTCTGCAAAATTTCTTCCTCGCTTGCTCGGAGATGACCAAAGGGAAAACCGCATCAATGTTTGCCGCGACTTGAAGAGTGAAGTGCAGAACGATCCAGAATTTCTTAAAAGAATTGTGACTGGCGATGAGTCTTGGTGCACACTCTTTGTCCTTCTGGTCGGCATTCTCACTAATCGCCAAAGGGTTGAAACAGGAACGCACACAACAGTGCACCACAGACAAACCACTTAACTCAGACTGACGCCAGCTCACTAACAGTCGCGGGAGACCCCCAGCTAACACCACCTAGCAGCACAACTCGTAACTACAAAGCATGTGCGCGCAACAGGTCGGTTCCGGTTATTTTTGGGTCCCCCCTCATATATACTTTATATTACTTCATTTTAACGTTTCCTTTCTGTTCACTTCATATTTTATGTATAGATTTCACCTCGACATTGACAAACGATGTTGAACAGCTGCAGTCTTCTTCCTTCGTTATTGTTATGAATTAAGCTCTATCCACTGTACTAATACAAGTCTAGAAAAGAGATTATTACCAGATTATGATGAAGAGTACCATTCCACATCTGGAGAATCTTGGTGATCATAGCTGCTTTGTTTGCATTGACTGTGAAGATTCGTTTGCTGTGGAGATATCTGAAAAGAATCTTCCTTGTCATTCCGTCATGCTCTAGGAGAGATGATGGTGTAGCAGAGTGCAGTAAAATAGCATCTATTGCTTCTGTAAGGCAACATAACTATATTTAATGTTACTTCTGTTATCCAAATGTCAAAGTTACCTTCACAATATAAAACAAACATTGCTAGATAAGCTGCAAAAGCTAGCCGTTAGTAACCAGCAAATCTAACAACAGTGATGTACCAAACTAATCATGGGAATTCAGAGAAATTCTATAGATGTTTGTAAACTGCACAATTATGCAAGTAGCAAGTGTCTTGCTAATTAGTCTAATTAGTCACCACTTAAACATTTGAAGCATATCAAAATACTGTTACTTTCATATCAGTGGGTGACCCAAGGAATTTTAAAATGTAACCCCATGCTGTTCACCACATTAGCACTGCTAACCTTAGAATTTCCATTCCACAATCACACAAGGTTAGGTTTTATGTTCTTTTCTATAAATTACGTCTACAGTTGGTAGTGTTAATGTGGTGGACAGCATGGCAGCAAAGTTTTGAAGTTGCATGGGTCATGCAATATTACATAAATATGAAAGATTAATATGTGCTGGGAGAGCTCAGTTGGAGTAAAGTGACAGGCCATAGGCATGATGATTGGTGGCTCCCAGCATAGCCACCCCCATTTTCTGGGTTGCGTGAAGCTAACCACTTAATGTCCACCTGGTGCTTACTTACTTACTCGTTACCGTGTTCACAGGAGCCCTCCACTGGTCCATATCCTGAGCCAGATCAATCCAATCCATCCCATCCTATCTCTCTAAGATCCCTTTTAATATTGTCCACATACCTACGCCTTGGTCTTCCCAGTGGTCTCCTTCCTTCTGGCTTTCCTACCAATATCCTGTACGCACTCCTCGTCTCCCCCATTCGTGCTACATGCCCTGCCCACCACACCCTCCTTGACTTGATCATTCTAATTATACTTGGAGAAGAGTACAAGTTAATAAGCTTGTCATTATGCAGTTTTCTCTGACCTCTTGTCACTTCATCTCTCTTCGATCCAAATATTCTCCTCAATGCCCTGTTCTCAAACACCCTCAGTCTATGTTCCTCCCTTAATGTCAGAGACCAAGTTTCACACCCATTCATAACCAGGGGCAAAATTATAGTTTTGTATATTCTAATTTTTATGTTTTTGGACAGCAGACGAGAAGACAAAAGGTTCTGGACTGAATGGTAGCAAACATTACCCGAGTTCAGTCTCTTCTTAATTTCCTACCGAATCAGGTTTCGATCTGCTATCGTTGTTCCCAAATATCTGAACTGTGCCACATTCTCAAAACAGCTGTTTCTTATCTTTATGACATGATTTTGCCCTGCATTTTGGTGACGAGACAGCAACAGATACTTAGTTTTCTCTGTGTTTACTTCTAGACCAACCTCAGTACCTGCGTCAGTTAATGTTTATGTGTTTTTCTTTATGGTATCTACATTATCACCCAGCAGATTCACATCATCGGCATAGGCCAACAGCTGACGTTTCCCGTTTAATTTCAGTCCCACCTGGTGTCCCTGGACCTTCCTAATGGCATATTCTAAAGCAAAGTTGAAAAGGAGTGGCGATAAAACATCTCCTTGTTTTAGACCATTCTCGATAGGAAATTTATCAGACAAATGTTTACCTACACGGACTTTACTATACGTTTTGTTTAAACACATTTTAATGAACCTAATTACGTAGCTGATTCCAAAAGTAAGGTCTCCAAAGCGCTGGGTAATTTTTCGTGCGGCTGTTGGCAACCCTGTTGCATTCGTTGCTTCCCCCACTCCCCCCAATACCACCAAGCATGCGCGCACGTAGCTAGGACGCTCAGTCTTTGCATGGTTGCCGTTAGAAATGGAGCTCCCGATTACTAAAACCNTGCTGCCCGACAAACCGTCGCTCAACTGCAACAGTTTGGATGGAACATCATCACCCATCCACCCTATAGTTCGGACTTGGCGCCCAGTGTCTACCATCTCTTTCCAAAGTTGAAAGAACATTTGCCTGGAAAGCGCTTCAACGACGACGATGAGGTGAAAGCTGAGGATCGAAGTTTGCTGAACAGCACGGAGGTGAACTGGAATGACATGGGTGTACAAAAACTGCCACTGCGCCTACAAAAATGCATCGACCGAAATGGCGATTATGTAGAGAAATGAGTACATGTTCAAGATTCAACTGATGTATCCAAAATTGAAAATATGTGTTTATTTTATATTTTCAAACATAGGAGACCTTACTTTTGGAATTACCCTTGTAGTTTCATGGGTATCCCAAACTCTATCAGAATATTGTACAGTACTTCCCTCCTAACTGAATCATAGGCTTTCTTGAAGTCTATGAATAGCTGATGTAGTGTCTCATCGGACTCCCATTTTTTCTCCAATATCTGACGAATGCAAAAGATCTGATCCGTAGTTGATCTGTTACATCGAAACCCACACTGATGATCCCCAATAATTTTATATATATATATGGACTTCACTTTGAAAGAAGAATATTGGACAAAATTTTATATGATGTTGATAGCAGTGTTATCCCGCAATAATTACTACAGTCAGTTTTATCACCCTTATTGTGAACTAGTACAATAACAGACTCCCTCCAATGATCAGGCAATTTTTCCTTATGCCAAATAGAAATAATTAGATTGTGGATGTTATAACATAATATTCTGCCTCCTGCTTGAATAAGTTCTGCCTGAATTTGAACACTACCTGGCGATTTATACCGTTTCAACTTTGCAATAACACTTTCAACCTCAAAAGGGCTAGGGTCAGGTATTAACGGCTCAGCTCTATGCATTTCTGTCTGCCTAACATCACTGACCCTATGTACATTCAATAACAGAGAAACAGATCCTCCACCTATTCAAAATGTTGTGGGAATCTGTAGGCAGATCACCATGCTCATACTTCACTAAGTTACTGCTAGGCTGGTAACCCCTCTTCAATTCATTTATTCCTCTATACTGGTCTCTCATGTTCTTCTTCATACTGATCACCACATGTTCGTTAATTTTGTATTTCAGATTATCCTCATTTATTTTGATTGCATCCTCTAACTACTGAAATTTGTCTTGTTTCCTTCAGTTTATAATTTTGAGCATCCTTCATCGAACCTTGGCTTATGCTTCTCAAATTCATAATAAAATAGACTCTTTTCGGCTGAAGTATCGATGTTTTCTCTAACAGTTTCATAAGCTCTATTGATATCCACCTCAGCGCCTGACTTTTCCAAAGCTGCGAACCTATTTCCTCTCTTTTCTACTTTTTAAATTTGCCTAATGGGGGGTGGAGTCCAACCGGGTCCACTCGGCATGGCGGCCACTGATTGGCCTATTGTAGCCTGCCCCCAGTGATTATGATGATGGAGAATTTGGTGGAATGAAGATTGGCAGGGGAAACCGAAGTACTCAGAGAAAACCCGCACCAGCGCCACTTTGTTCACCACAAATCCCGATTGACCAGACCCGTGATGGGAAGCCAGCGACTAACCGCTTGAGCTATGGCACGGCCCAGTACTCCTCTCTTCCCTCGTCCTCGTTCAATTTCTTGAGATTACACCTCTCCACATGAAATCTGTGCGTTGTTTGTTTACTCAGTGCCAGTGTCTCCCTAACTTCTGGTATCAAATCTGCTCCCCTGAACGATCGGACATCAAGTACACTTGAAAGCCGTCTCCTATTCACCCATCCACCCACCCACCCACCCATCCATTATGAAAAGTCCAAGTAAAGTAAATTTATGAATGTTACGATGTGCAGATATTTTTCTTTTGACGATTGGATTTTGGATGTGGCAAGGTTTACTATTCTGACTCCATTATCNCATCGAATACAGTTCTAGTTCCTCATAGCAGCTGTCCATCATATTATCAGTTGTATCCTGTTGGGGCATGAACATTCAGAACAATGATATTGTACATCCTGTCACTAACAGACTCTACCCTCTTAACTGCTGAAATGTTGCTCTTATGTACAAAGAGACCTGTACATAATTCGCGATTGTCATTCCCTTTCCCGTGGAAAACTGCATATACACCTGCTGCTTTGGTACCACCTCTGACCCATCTGACCTCCTGTAGTCCCACTAAATCTAACTCACATTCTGACATTCCTTTCACACGTTTCATGAATGAACCTGCCCTATACAGACTTCTTACATTCCATGTACCAAATCTCATGTCCATTTTCTTAGCTTTGTAAGAAGCTTATTTTTTTATGGTGAGTTGTTAGCCCCATGCCCAACCCCCAAGCTGAATGACCACCCCTTGTCGCTTATCCATGACTGCTTATTCAATATATTCACAGCCTAATTATTTGCAAAAGTTATTTTACATTTGAATCCTTGTTCCTCTTCACGAAGGTTTACGTCACGTGATTCTTAACTTCATTTTGTTTTACTTTCATAGTTGCAGTTTATATATACATAGTTTTTAGTAGGCATGAACATCTACTTGAGTATATCTTCAGACATTAATTTACCTTGTTTGGTGCATGGTACAATCATATTTTCCATTATACTCCGTGCCAACATCTTAAGATCCTCTTCTGACATGAATGTTAGAAGTTCTTTGAGGTATAGTTTTTCTGTATCACTTAGCAACCTGCAACAGTAAAAGCACATAGTACAATCACCTACTGTGTGTGTTAAGTAAAAGAAATATCCTGGGTTTGATAGTTATTGTTGAAGAAACCCAGTCCACCAGAAGGTCATATAAAAAAGTCAGGGTCAGTTTAACCCGTTGCCGTGGTTTGACGTGTATGTTTCGTCAGGTATTTAAATCGTCTGGGGGGGTTCGACGTGTATGTTTCGTCCAGCTGCACACGTATGTTATAACGCCCATAATAATTGATGGTTTTGCTGTAGATTGTTAGATTTTTCACTGGCCTGTTGTCAGGAGGACTGTATTTAATGACACACGCGTTTAAGAGCGCTAAGTCGTCGTTACATATGCCTGTCTTGCAGCAACGTTCCTGTGGCTATTGCGAGCTGTTTCTGTTATGAATGATGTGTTTTCTTTGCTCTGAAGCTATAAACACCAGAGACTGATATGNGCAACAACCCCTTGTTATGATAACTCGTAACGTTGAATTTACTGCAGCTGACCTGACTAGCTTTACTGCTCACGGAAGGACATTTCCTTGAACTATACCCCTCACGGGGAGGAGGGCTAGGCCGCACAGAAGCTGTGTGGTTAAAAAAAAAGAGCAAAAGAAAAGATACGCAGTATTGGTTTGGTGAATGTGAGCCAGCGCTGTGTTTAGACTAATGCTTCAAGGCGTCACCTGCTTGCATTGCCGAGATACCGGGTGCTCATATTATAAGGCAAGGTTATAAAACCATCTTTTAAGATCATTTTAGTGAAAGTTTCATCCTTCAAGGCGTACCATTCACTGATCAAATACTAAACAACCTACTACCATTGCCGAAATACAGGGCGCTCATATTATAAGGTAAGGTTATAAAACCACATTTTAAGATCATTTTAGTGAAAGTTTCATGTTCCTATCTCATAGAATTTAAGAACAATGATGAATAAATCATTTTCGAGCAAAATTTAAATGGCCGGCTGAATATATTACCGCAGGAGCCGCGGAATTTAAATGAGCACGTCAAAGGGTTAATGTTAGTGCTTAATCGCTCACTTTTAAAAGAGGAATATATTCTTATAGATGTTCTGAAGGCCTTGGCTTTGATAATATTGTAACGTGTTTTGCCACCTAAGACAGCGCTCGGATTGTTAACTGGTTTATTTAACAACCTACAAGTCTTGGCTACAATTAATTATAACACTGTTACAGGTTTACAAAATTTACAACCCTACACAATAATCTGTCCACTCTACCTTCAGTAGTCTACACTAGCGTTTCACAAAATACGGTCCGCGGACCACAAGTGGTCCTCGAGGCGTGCCCTTGTGGTCCTTCAAAAAAGACAGAAGAAAAAAATAAATTCAAATGAATTGCATATCACACTATAGCTGAAAAGCTCAGTTTTGAAATTGCACACGGCAATCATCTTTCACTTGTACTTATCTGTGTGAGAGAGGGTTTTCATCACTAAGTCCAATAAAAACAAAGTACCAAAATCGACTCGATGCATGTGACGATCTCCGGCTTAAGCTTACCAGCATACATCCAAATATAGAACAACTGTGCAAGAATCGGCAGGCTCACCCATCTCATTAATGTGAGTACCAACATTTTTTTTTATTTTTTAGTTAATAAGCTAAAGATTATCCAAATTCTAATAGTCTTGAATTATTAAAAAACGAATATGAATGTTCTTCTATTAACTTAATTACTTAATATTAATTAATTGAATTACATTAATTTTAATTAATTCTATTTTAAAATATAGGTATACTGTTATTAAAATATGCTAAAAAAATGATAAATTTTCTTTCGAAGGGAACAAGAGTAAGGTGGTCCGCAGAACTGTTCTGACTTATAAAAGTCTGAGAAACGCTGGTCTACACATATTCACAGTACGATACGGGGGCTATACCAATGTCACTGTATTACACACTTCCAATTACTTCTATTGTGAGCCAATCATCTGCTTCTCACACTATCACTTACGTGCCGGTATTCTTTCCGCCCCACCTGAACTCGGCGACTGTTCCAATTCAACTGTCTCCTAATCACACACTGCCCCTTATCTATCCTCGGAATGGACAAGAGCAGGGGGTGGCAACATAACCGCCGTGACGTCATGAAGCATCACTGCTGCCGCGATGGCCGGCGGACACTATCTTGATATAAAACCCAGTTGGTGCTTTGGCTGAGGCGCATATCAGGCACCTCCAGAATATGAGTCAGAGGTATTACCACTTGACCCACCTTTCATTGCTGCTGTGTGTAGTTTGGTAAATAAACTACATGACTTGTTTACATTCCCTACAGAACGGACAATACTTTGTAAGATGGGGCACCAACTAAACAATTAACATTAATTTACTACATCTACATCACGAGCCTCCTATATAATCTTATACAATATATATATATATATATATAATACTCCAATTTGTCCATAAGAACGAAATGAAATTATAAAACCAACGACTGATTCGATGATACCATATGTCCACAAAGTATCGGACTTTATTTTTTTCCACTGTAAGCAATGGCCAAACGGGTGGGGAAACTGAGCGTAGTGGTAGAAGGGACTTTGATGTGCATGCGTGATTTTTTGCTGACTCGCAACACTGCCAGATAGCAAAGTGGTGTAACACATGTTCGTCGCATTCTTGTTTCGCTCAAGATGACAGAACGCCTGGAGCAGCGATACTGCATTAAGTTTTGTCAGAAACTTGGGGATAGCCAAGCGGAAACAATTCGCAAAATTCAGCAGGCTNCAATTACTTCTATTGTGAGCCAATCATCTGCTTCTCACACTATCACTTACGTGCCGGTATTCTTTCCGCCCCACCTGAACTCGGCGACTGTTCCAATTCAACTGTCTCCTAATCACACACTGCCCCTTATCTATCCTCGGAATGGACAAGAGCAGGGGGTGGCAACATAACCGCCGTGACGTCATGAAGCATCACTGCTGCCGCGATGGCCGGCGGACACTATCTTGATATAAAACCCAGTTGGTGCTTTGGCTGAGGCGCATATCAGGCACCTCCAGAATATGAGTCAGAGGTATTACCACTTGACCCACCTTTCATTGCTGCTGTGTGTAGTTTGGTAAATAAACTACATGACTTGTTTACATTCCCTACAGAACGGACAATACTTTGTAAGATGGGGCACCAACTAAACAATTAACATTAATTTACTACATCTACATCACGAGCCTCCTATATAATCTTATACAATATATATATATATATATATAATACTCCAATTTGTCCATAAGAACGAAATGAAATTATAAAACCAACGACTGATTCGATGATACCATATGTCCACAAAGTATCGGACTTTATTTTTTTCCACTGTAAGCAATGGCCAAACGGGTGGGGAAACTGAGCGTAGTGGTAGAAGGGACTTTGATGTGCATGCGTGATTTTTTGCTGACTCGCAACACTGCCAGATAGCAAAGTGGTGTAACACATGTTCGTCGCATTCTTGTTTCGCTCAAGATGACAGAACGCCTGGAGCAGCGATACTGCATTAAGTTTTGTCAGAAACTTGGGGATAGCCAAGCGGAAACAATTCGCAAAATTCAGCAGGCTCTCGATGATGATGCAATGGGGGTCACTCAAATTAAAGAGTGGTTCAACCGCTTTAAACATGGCCATATGTCGGCAGATAGTGAGCAACGTTCCGGGAGACCGTCAACGAGCCGAAATGCTGATGTCATTGATAAAGTGCACACACTGATCATGGAGGACCGTCGTTTGGCCATCCGTGAAGTTGCTGATGAGGTTGGGATTAGCAGAGGTTCCGCAAACACAATTTTAATTGAGGATTTGGGCATGCGAAGAGTGGCGGCAAAATTTGTGCCCAAGCTGCTTTCGCCGGAGCAGCAACAACTCCACCCTGAGATCCCGCAGGACATGCTGGAGTGTTCCAACAGGGATCCTGAGCTCCCGAAGACTGTGATCACTGGTGACGATTCGTGGGTGTACGGATATGACCCAGAAACCAAGGACCAGGCGTCACAAGGGAAGCATCCAACATCCCTGAGGCCCAAAAGAGGACGACAGGTTCGGAGCAATGTGAAGGTGATACTATTTTTTTTTTTCCCGATTACCGGGGTGTTGTGCATCATGAGCACGCACCACTGGGCCAGACTGTCAATAAGGAGTACTACCAAGAAGTCCTCTGCCATCTTCGTGATGCAGTTTGGCGCAAGAGACCGGAGCTGTGGGAGGCACACAACTGGGAGCTGCATCGTGACAACTCCCCACTTCATTCATCACACCTGATCCAGGGTTTCCTGGCCAAACACGGCATTCCGCAGGTTTGCCAGCCTCCCTACTCTCCTGACATGGCTCCTTGTGATTTCTGGCTGTTCCCGAGATGGAAGACACCACTAAAAGGCTGTCATTTTGACAGGCACGAGGACGTCATACAGAATGCGACGGCACAGCTGCACGCCATTCCAAAAGAAGCCTTCCAGAATTGCTTCCAGCGATGGAAGGGCCGCTGGGCTAAGTGTGTGGAGTCACAAGGGGCCTACTTTGAAGGCGATTAGGTATTGTAACCACCCAGATACAGAACTTTGATTTCCCGGCCCAAGGTCAGATACTTTTTGGACAGAGTAGTATAAAACATCAATCTAAAAATTTAATTCTTGTTTTATGCTATAACTTCTATTTTACTGTATTTTTTACATCAAGCATTTTATATAATTAATAGTATTGTATCCAATTTTACTAGTACTGCAGTTCAGTGGTGTATATATGTTAACCGTGTATTTGCCTTATGATGGCTATTGATAGCCGAAACATGTAGCAGAGCCAAAACTGGGCACTGATCTTGATATTTCTTGTGTTGTGATGGTTATAATAAAGAGGTTGTATACTACATAACACCACATCCCACCAAACCATGATTTTAAAACAAATATCACTTTGCAAAAACACAGGAAAATTTTAGACATGACAGCAGATATGACATAGATCAGTATGATAAAGTCTTATGTAATTAAGTCTATTAAACTTTAAACTACCAATGACCCCATATGGGGTCACAAAAATAAAGTCAGCGGTACGAATGACCTCATATGGGGTCGCACAGTCCGCGCGTGCGCACGTTGCTTTAAAATCTAATTTTTAAGATAGAAATTCTTTTCCTACTTACATAATTTTTGGCCACCATCTGCATGGGCTGTCTGTCTTCCCACCTGCGTCATCTACCGGAATGTTGCCTTCGTGTGGAATTCTCGGAAACATCCGGAAATGCAGAGTCTGATGTCGCACTTCTCGCACTTTGTCCGGACGCCTCTTCGTTTCCCACGCGAAGAGCACACACGACAGCTCAACTTCGAAGTAGAGGAAGTCGGCCAATGTTGTGTTGTGACCTCCTCTATTCGAGATGGCTCCGATCTAACAGCCGGGGTTCGACCCCTGGGCCGTTGAGGGCGAGGTGGACCCCTTCCAGCAAGCTCCAGCATGTTCCGCACAAGGGCGAGACGAAAATCTCTGTGCGTCCAATTCGCGCCACAGGATTTCAACAGAATGTGGCTNATAACTGTAGCATGTGTCCCTGTCACGTCTCGGTCAGCACGTGTCCTATCTTTTCCTAGGTAAACTTTCATGTCATAAGTATACCCAGCGGCGTCACAAATTTTGAAAATTTTGATTCCGAAACGTTTGTGTTTCTTTGGAATGTACTGCTTAAAAATCACCCTTCCCTTGAATTTAACTATTATTTCGTCAATGGCCAAATGTTCGGAAGGGTTATAATATTTTTCAAATGCGTCATTGACAGTGTCGAACATGGTCCGAATTTTCCATACTCGGTCATAACTGTCGGCATTCCTGTCAATTTCTGTACTGTCATCTGCAAAATGTAGAAAACGAAGAATGTGAAGAAATCAGTCGCGTTTCATTGTCTCAGAGTAGAAAGGCGTGGCAAATTGTTTTAGAGTCGACCAGTAGTCCGTCAGTCTGTCTCTAATGTCATGTCCCATTTGAATGATTATTCCTAGAAACAGAAACATCTCGGATTTGGTCACGTCAGGCCGCGGAGAAGGTCCGTCTTGACGTCTGCCTACGTGCTGATGGTAGTATCTGTTCGTCTCTTCCACCAGCAGATGGATAATCTCTGTGAAATACAGCATGAAAACGCAGAAAGGGGTGGAATCCTTATTTACATGTGGAGCTTCATGGGTTTTTAATCCCACAGCTCCACCTGAAAAAGTATTCACACTCCTCGTGCCATGCTGGTGTGGTGGTCCCCAGGTTGGCGACGAAGATGATGGGTCTTCATCGAAATCACTTTCTGATTCGCTACCTTCAACGTCACTCTCAGAATTGTCGGTACAGCAATCTGAATCGGAGTCATTGATGAGCTGAAATATGTCAGAATCTTCCAAACGAGACGACACCATGGTAGGATTAAACTTTGAAATACTTCGACAGAACACTTCCAGCCACGAAGCTAGTACTCAGTGTAATGAAACTGCAACGCGATTTCATAAAGAAAGCTAGCCTTGAACTGTATAAGAACAGTAATCTTATTGTGTAGCCCAGCGCGATGATAAACACTGAGTTTATTTCACTCGCCCACTCTCATCATACCAAAAGAACTACCTGATTTAGACACTGAGAAGGTTTAGACACAACATCCGCTGTGTTGCCATAGCTGTCAAGTGATGTCACCCACTAGCCTCCATTCATACTTACCGAGTACTCCATGAATTCTTAAAGAGAAACTAAAAAACTGGGGAATTTCTTATTTGGAGTCAGTGTAAAAATTTTAACATGTTTCATACAATCTGTAAATTACAATATCTGATTCTATATTCTTTCAAGAAAAAAGCAGCGTTTATTTCGTTCGTTTATCACAGAAATTGCAGAAATATGAGCAAATTTAGTAAATGATTACAGTTTTTATGGCTTTATAATCACGGGTGTTTAAATTTATTCTGTACCGCTGCCCTTACCGGAAAATAAATGCCCGTAGCTTAAAGGTTAATGGAAATTTGCTGCCATTCACAATATCATAATAAGCAATGACACACAATACATACACAGCTTTGATGTGACCCTGAACTTGTAGAACATCTGAACCATGGTCCAAGGTGATTTGTTCTTCTTCCCCCCATGGTCTCTTTACTGCATCATCTTCATTTTCATCCAACTATAAAAGATATAGAATTGCCTCATGATCAGCGACACACACAAAAAGACACAGCACCACTTTCTCCATCCTTCTGTTATTTTCTCCTTTTTATAATATAACTATCATGCCTATGCAGAAAAATCTGCATTTGTTCATTTGTTCATGGTTACTTATACTGTCAGTTCCTCAGAACTCCAGCCGTGGTAAAGGGTTCATACCATCTCTCGCGGAGCAGTCTTATCAGCTTACGTCAGCTATTCATGGTGGTTACTTAACATCTCCACAGCCCCAGTATTTTTCTTAAGGAGTAAATAATGGGAAAGAAACAGACTTGGATTTGAGCTATGAATGTATAAGCAAAACTAACAACTGCAATGAAGACTGCTGTTATAAGAGCAATTTTTGTATTTTCCAATATCTTCTGCAACACACTGTTTGGGAGAGCTAGGAAAAATCAAAGAGATATTTGGCTAATAAATGCATGGAGAACACACAACAGAAACGCCTACATTGCACATGCAGATTGGCCATGACTGACTCCAGATCAGTAGTTATATTAAACACATTATTCCATAGTTTCTGACAAATGACAATAAAAAAGCTTCTAACTTTCTTATTGGCTGAAGCCATGAGCTACATATCTACATGACCTCTAACCTGAATATTTTAACAGTTCTTAAACATGATCCGGAAAATATAAGACACCACAACAAGAATGTTACTCATAGTGACCTGGCGGCCAGAGCATTTTGATACCTGGCAATGCTGCCATAAAAGCATTAGCCTCATAAAAACAATCCAGACTCTGGAAAAGATGCAGCACTGATTTCATGCAAAATTACATCATTTTATTCTGTATGAGAACACAATCTCATTCTGTCTGAAAATGCTCATTTGCTACATATTTCAACAAGACTTGGTCATTCCAGTATGAAATCCAGCTGCACTAGGTACTACATGCCTGCAATTGCTGACTAACCTCATATAAATGCAAGTGACTACAGTGCAGTTGCATCTGACGCAGGGGTTCAAATTGTCGAACATGTGTTGGCAAGATTTTAAACAAAACTGACAGGCTAATGTTTTAAATTTTAAATTTTGGACTGTGTGCAGTGTGACAGCTACGTGTGAGAAAAAATACACCTGATGATGGCCGATTACGGCCTAAACATGTAGTGTAGAAGAAGGAAAGACAAAGATCTACAACCAAATAAATTGTTGCGTTCATGACCAAATTTGTATTACTACATACAGAATTAAATGTGTGCATGATGCAACTCCACTGTATATTTTCAACATTAAGAAATCTACCACATTTGTGTGTAAGTAGAAATATATTATAAGAATTGCCTGGTTACCTGAACATGAATACGCCTATGAGAGATCTCCTTTAGCACATCCAAGGCAGATTTTGATGAATGCTGCTCTTCCGAAGAAGTGTCACTCAGGATCTGCGACTTTCTCAGAAACCTGAAATCAATATAAGCGGATAAAGTAACAAACACCAAGCAACCTGGTCTGCATTTGAAAAGTCCCTAGATTCTGTCCTGTAACCAGCTATCACGACCTGATGTTTCTTCTAATTTATTTCAGTTCCTTCAGATAGCTCAGCATCAGCCAGACATCACAATCAATCCATTCCTCAGAGGTTCTAAGTTGAAATCTACTGATAGCATTATAATTCAACCATTAATTCAATTAATAAGGTATAACTGAAACACCTGAAGATTACCCTTTAAACATGTAGTGTGCTCAAATCAATAAAATTGTTGCACTGATGGCTGAATTTGTATTATTAGTTATAATGTTTTCTTTCAGTTAACTTCCTACTACTCTATGACAAATGTTAAGAACTATGTAAACTTCCAATTGCACATACCAAAATAACCTAATTCCAGACTTGTAGGCATTCAGCAAAAGTCTGCATAATAGATAAGGCAGAAGGTATCAAGTGCAATTTAGTCAAGAGCCTACTGACAATGGTTTCTTTGCATGTCCTTCAATTTCCGAAGAGGAACAATATCCCTTAAAATAATCTACAAACCTACCATACTACAAGCTCATATTTGTACTCATGCCCATGTGTGTTTATGTAGATGGTACTTAAATGAGGTAAAAATTGTACATACAGCATTCAAAATAAGTTTTCTGTAGATCATGTCACATGAAAGTATGATAAGCAAGCTAAGGTGCAAGATCACAGTGCTGAGAAAGTATTTCATGTGATCTACCTTGTATCTGATGCCTTAGGTGGGTCAATCTTGATCATAACAAGGCTCAGGTCACTTGTCTGACTTCTGCGGGATGACAAGATTGGTAACCTTGATGCAACATGATCCTGTTGAAGAAGAAGAAGAAACCGTCATGGGCCTGAATATTGTTTCTCACGTGTTACGGTTTCCTCACTTGCACAATGGGCCACACCCCTACTGATTTCTGGTTTGCATACATCTGCAACAATTCTACAACATAGCACTTCCTTAACTAACACTTCTGCAAGTTACATACGCATAATACAAAACAGAGCTACCAACTTATAATACAAATATTATTTGCACTAATGTACCTTCGTCACAAATTTTCAGATGTTATTTACAATCTTCGACTTTCCATTAACCTTGTATTGTTATTGAAGTTGAATCCTGTTGGAGCAAGAAGGGGGCCTGAAGCAGCCTGGATGGTTTTCACCCCTGAACCATGAACTTTTATCCTGTTGGCCTCACTTACATAAAGTAGGCATAAACAGAGTCCTATTACAACAGACACTATAAAGCACACCGGTACGAAGTAGATTGCAATCATTCCAAATGCAATACTACAAAAAAGTAAAGTTAATTTGAACATGTCACGTACACAGGGTTCCATTATGCCAAATAACGTGTCCTTGTTTGGATGGTTCGATTTCTTAATGCCTCCTTTTACAGACACTCTTAATTGCATGCAATTTACAACAACTCACAATATGTCACTACCGTTTCCTGGAAGTTGATTTATAAGTCCCACTAAATTCCACAGTACAGCTCATACACTGACCACCTCGACCTTGGCTTTGCGTTTTATACTTCAATCCGACAAGAGGGGAAAGCCCCCTCCAGCAGTTCCTCACCTGTTTCATCACTGCAGGGAAGTGTTTACGTGGCCTGTCACCTGTTAAGTTACAGCTGGGAAGTGTTGCACAACACAGATCCTCTCCTGCTTGCTTGGACTGGCTAACTAGTCAGAGTTATATTTCCGCTAGCAGTTTACCACTAATCATTTCATCTTGATATCAAACTTTTGTGGCTCAAAACCGTCCCCCCCCACCCCCACCCCCCAGGGACAGTCTCTTCTGGCTCCGCAATTTTGACTTTGAGTGGACATGTCACAGTATCTATGTCCTTCCATTGCTAACAGAACTAGAAGAGTTCAAGATACTAATCAAAGAAGCCTGTGCAAAAACTGATCATGTTATCCTCCAAAAGGTGTGGCAGGATATTGCTCAAGCTACACACAATATTCATGTCCAAATTATTAGATTTCATGACAGTTTTTGAGTTTACACTTCAAGTGTTATATTTTTTAGCAGTGCCTTAAACCTTCTATGAGTAACAAAAGATTCAAATTGTGAAGATTTTGTATGGACATTCTCTATAATAGAATGATACAAGAAAGCTGATGAGGATGTGGTGTGTAATATAATATGTTTATAAACTGTATCATTCTTGGTCTTTCTACAGATGATTTCCTAAGACACTGTCATCTGCCAATGAGGTTCCTGCCTCAACTGCTGTGACCACATGTTTTCCGAGCATGGTCCACCCAGTGGCAGAAGCAGCGGCAGCAAGTGGAACAACAGAAATTACAAATAATGTAGAAACAAGTGTTCCATTCAGTACAGAAATAGAGCCTGTTGTTGCAGACACCTCGACCCAGGCTTCAACTGAAAGGAGCTCATATGCACTACTCACTGTCTCCTTGACAATGGGTAATGATGTTTCTCCTGCAGTGCCAATTACCAGTGCTGCAGATATAAATTTTGGACCCTTGGGATCAGTAACATCTGCTCCAGTGACATTTTTGCTAAACAGAACAATTCCACGTTTAACATTACCAGTATCTTCTCCAGCTGGTGCTCCTGTTTCTTCTGAACAGACATTAACTTCTTCATGAAATATGATGGCTCCCGTGGAAGGAAATATAAACTGTTTTCAGAATGTTGCTAACACTTCTTCCTCTGGTATTTCTCTTATTTCTGGCAAGTCTCAATCTTCAGATTCTCCATCAAGTTCGTTTCTGAATGTACATAATTCATTGCCAAAAATGTCAGCTGGTGATTCTTCACAACTGGTCACTACCTCTACACCAGAGCTTGGTGCGTGTAATGGATCTGTCACTTCTCCTTCCTCCAAAGAACAGACAAGCCATGGGTCAGTGTCAGATAGGAGCAGTGGCAATGGTGGCTTCAGTTCATCATCGACAAACACTGTCATCAGCGTCCTGAAGCCCATGGCAACAGAAGCTACAAAGAGCTCGTTCAGTTTTGGAAGTACAGCAGTGACTTCTTCCGTGAATACTACAAGTCATGCATCAGTAGATGTAGCTTCAGGTTCAGTTACCCTTACGGAGCCACGAATAGGAGGTTTTCTGTCCACAGGATATCTCATAACANGGGGTGTGTGGGTCAAATCTCTGTATGTGTGAATCATGACGCAGGGAACAATTTTATCAGCTTACAACCTGTAGTTCTGGCACAGGGTTGTTTGGTACTAACACGTCAGTTTGGAGCACCAAACCGTAAGTTTTATTTCAGTATAATAGTAGCTGTAGTATGTACTTTGTCCTCACATTGCACCAAGCCATCAACTAAATAACGTCTTCTGTGCTGATGCTGTCATTTGACAAATCTATTTATATTATCCTCTGTCTTCCTATGACTTTACCAACTGCAGTTGTGTTCAGTCTGTTCCTCCGTTCTCTTCAGCTTTCTTTGGTCAGTTCACATTTTTTCATCTACCAAAAGAACATCTTCATGGGTCATGGATACAGACACTTGAAACAAGGAGACCATATGGGAGAGCTAGGAGAAGATGCAAGAATAATATTAAAATGGATCTCAAAGAAACTGGATGGAACTGGATTCATCTTACTCAAGATAGGGACAGTTATCGGCTCTTCTGAATGCCGCTATGGACCTTCAGGAAATTTCTTGACTAGCTGAGCAACTACTGGCTTTTCAAGAAGAACTTTCCTTTATGGAGTTATATATAGCACATCTTCATTTCCCTGTCTTCAGACTGGTCTTGGCATTTTATAATTGCCATAAGTCAACTCAGAATTTCTACAAAGTTTTCTTGTGCTCCAAGATTCTGTTAATGTCTCACTCCTTAATCTGCCTCCTGCTTCCTCAGAACCAGATCTCAGCAGTGTGGTGTCGATAGAATTCCATGCTACAGATTTTATCAGAGATCATCCTCCTTTTGTGATCTTTTGTAAGAAGCTTATTTTTCATGGTAAGGAGCTGCTAAGCTGGAGGACCACCCCTTGCTGGCTGTCCACGACTGCTTACTCAAGATTTTCGCAACTACACTCCATATATAGACGATGTCTCATCCATCCACAACCTGAGGACGCATCATGCCGTGATGACAAGGGACCCACGTAGCATCACCCATCACCAGTCAGCTCAGACACCACAGACAGGAACAGGACGTTCTTCAGTACCATGGCCACCTGCGTTATCGGGTGATAACTACTGTTAATTTGTTATCTATTGTGTTTTATTACAATTCTTTATTAAGTCCATCACAACACAACAATACAGTGGTCAAGGCTAAATTATTATATTAGTTTTCTTTTTTATATATTCAGTTTTGCCCCTTTGCCTGTTAAGTCGTCCACCCCCCCTGCGTAATAATATTGATTGTTGTTCCTTGCCTGTATGACATAAAGGATAGAGTCTGTGAAGAACTAGAACATATATTTGATAAATTCCTGAAGTATCCTATGAAAATTTTGTTAAGAAATTTCAATGCCAAGTAGGGAGCTAAGACATTTTCAAACCAACAATTGGGAATGAAAGTTTGCATGAAATTAGTAATGACAATGGAGTTAAAACTTTGCCACATCAGAAAATCTTACTGTCAAAAGTACAGTGTTCCCACATCGTAACATCCATTAATTTACTTGGACATATCCTGATGAGAAGATACACTATCAAATAGACCATATTTTGATAGATAGCAGACGGCACCCAAGTATACTTGATGTCCAATTATTCAGGGCAGCAGATTGTGATACTGACCACTACCTGGTGGTGGCACATCTCCTGATGAGAAGATTCACAATCAAATAGACCATATTTTGATAGATAGCAGACGGCACCCAAGTATACTTGATGTCCAATTATTCAGGGCAGCAGATTGTGATACTGACCACTACCTAGTGGTGGCAAAGGTTAGGGAAAGACTGGCAGTGAGGAAACAAACAACACACAGTTCATATGGAGAGGTTCAATCTCAAGAAATTAAATGAAATAGAGGGTAAAGTGCAGTACTGTGTTGAAATCCCAAATAGGTTCACGGCTTTGGAAAACTTGGAAACTGAGGTGGATGTTAATAAAGACTAGGAAACTATTAGAGAGAATATAAACATGTCTGCCAAGGAGAGTCTAGGTAATTATGAACCGAAGAAACATAAGCCGTGGTTCGATGAAGGTTGCTCAAAATTATTAGATCAAAGAAAGCAGGCCAAATTGCAATGGTTATAGGATCCAAGCGAGTTAAATGGGGATAATCTGAACAATATGCCGGTCACGGTACCCGAGCGGTCTAAGGCATGCACTGTCTTCGCTCGCTCGGAAGCCGGGATCGTGGGTTCGAACCCCACTCAGGGCATGGATGTTTGTCTACAGGTAGAGGCCTTGCAACGAGCCGATCAATCGCCCAAGGAGTCCTACCGAATGTGTAAGATCTAGTAAACCGTAGTGAAACGGAGAGTTTCATGGAGGTAGGCCTAGGCCAAAACTGGGGCTGTAGCGCCACAGAAAAAAAAATCTTAACAATATAAGACGTGAAACCAGCAGGCATTTCAGGAACAAAAAGGAGGAATATCTGAAAGACAAGATTGATGAGCTTGCAATGAACAGTAAGATCAAGAACATTAGAGACCTGTATAGAGGAATAAATTACTTTAAGAGGGGTTACCAGCCTAGCAGTAACTTAGTGAAGGATGAGCATGGTGATCTACTTCCAGATTCCCACAGCATTTTGAATAGGTGGATCAACTACTTATCTCAGTTATTGAATGCACATAGGGTCAGTGATGTTAGGCAGACAGAAATCCATACGGCTGAGCCGTTAATACCTGATCCTAGGCCTTTTGAGGTTGAAAGTGCTATTGTAAAATGGAAACGGTATAAATTGCCAGGTAGTGATCAAATTCCGGCAGAACTTATTGAAGCAGGAGGCGAAATATTACATTCTAAAATCTACAATCTAATCACTTCTATTTCGCATAAGGAAAAATTGCCTGATTAGTAAAAGGAGTTTATTATTTTACCAGTTCACAAAAAGGGTGATAAAACTGACTGTATAATTACTGCGGGATAACACTGCTATCAACATCATATAAAATTTTGTCCGATATTCTTCTTTCAATGTTAAGTCCACATATATATATATAAAATTATTGGGGATCATCAGTGTGGATTTCGATGTAACAGATAAACTACAGATCAGATCTTTTGCGTTCGTCAGATATTGTAGAAAAAATGGGAGTCCGATGAGACAGTACATCAGCTATTCCTCGACTTCAAGAAAGCCATGATTCAGTTAGGAGGGAACTATTGTACAATATTCTATTAGAGTTTGGGATACCCATGAAACTAGTTAGGTTGATTAAAATGTGTTTAGATGAAATGTATAGTAAAGTCCGTGTACGTAAACATTTGTCTGATAAGTTTCCTATCCAGAATGCTCTAAAACAAGGAGATGCTTTATCGCCACTCCTTTTCAACTTTGCCTTAGAATATGCAATTACGAAGAAGACATCTGCCACGTCATTTCATTCAAAACAGCAGAGATATCCGATAAGACCAAAAATGGTTTTTAATAATACAGAAAATGTATTTCAGTCAGAACTGAGATTTCTTGGAAATCTCATGACAGGAACCCTAAAATGGTGTGCTCCTGCTCAATTTCTAAAAGCAAACCTATTCAAAGTAATTTATAGGGTGAAAATATTAAAAGAAATAAATGAGTCCATAGTTCGACAAGGATGCTCTTTATCACCAATTTTGTTCAACTTGTACAGCGAATGCCTTACCAAACAGGCTCTGGACAGGCTTGGAGACTTCAAATTAGGAGGGCAAATTATTCAAACTGTGAAATATGCAGATGACCTTGTGTTAATGGCTAAGGAAGAAACTGTGCTACAGGGTATGATTGATAGACTAATTGAAATTGGAAGGTGCTACGGCATGGAAATGAATGTGGAAAAAACAAAAGTAATGAAAATCTCGAGACAACCAACCCCAGTCACAACAAACATAGACCAAAAACAACTGGAGAATGTGAAATGTTTTAAATATTTGGGTAGCTTGTTAACAGATGATGGAAGGTGTATGTGTGAAATTAAATCTAGGATTGCCATGGCAAAAGCTGCATTTAGCAAGAAGAAGAATCTTTTTACCAGCAAATTGGACTTAAATTTTAGAAAGAAACTAGTGAAATGCTACATTTGGAGCATGGCTTTCTATGGGGCTGAAACTTGGACACTTAGGGCAGTAGATCAGAAACACCTGGAAAGCTTAGAAATGTGGTGTTGGAGAAGGATGCAGAAGATTAGCTGGACCGATTATGTGAGAAATGAAGATGTGTTATTTAGAGTCAGTGAGCAGAGGAATATCCTACACGAAATAAGAAAATGGAAGGCTAACTGGATTGGTCATATCTTACGTGGTACCTGCCTTCTAAAAGAAGTTACTGAAGGGAAGCTAGAGGGGCGGATAGAAGTGACCAGAAGACGAGGAAGAAGACGTAAGAAGATGCTGGATGACTTTGGGGACAGAAGAGGATATTTTCATTTGAAGGAGAAAGCTCTAGATCGCATCAAGTGGAAGAACTGTTGACCTGTCATCTTGATAGATTACAGATGAATGAATGAATATGATAACAATTATTTATTTTTTGAATTTTGAGTCATGTATGAGAAATGGTATCTTATTGTGGGGTGAGGATGGGGAGAGTAAAAGCATTTTTAAATTGCAAAAGCGGGTTCTTCGATTCATTAGTGGTATTAGTAATCGCACGTCACGTAGACAAATTCTGAAAGATTACAATGTTCTAACATTGCCTTCTCTGTGTATATTGGAGGTGACATGCTTTATCAAAAAATACAAGGCTCTTATGGCAATAAATTGAGGCATTCATAATTATAACAGATGAAGAAAATTAAATTCTCATGTACAGCACTGTAATACATCTCTTTTTAAGAGGAGATGTGATAAATATGGGAATTATTTAGTATAATAAGGGCCCCAATCAAATAAAACAAAGGGAAAATTTTAACTCATTTAAAAAGGAATTAAATCTTTTTTGCTGAAACATTCCTTTTATTCTGTAGACGAATTTATGTCTTTTTTTTCATCAGTGTTTAAATGTAATATGTGTTTAAAATTTCAAAATTTGAAGTTTTAGTTGAATATTTTAAAAGCCAGGGAGGTTAGCTTTTTCTAAGGGACCCAACAGAATAGGTGTTTTCCCTCCCCTGAGGAAGGAAACAGATCAAGTTTCCGAAACGTCGTGATTTTCTTAGTTATCTTAAAACCAGGACGATGGATAAAGTACGAAATAAAAATATCTCTTCACATTCTGGAAATATCCGTTTTACATGAGGTGTAAGGAAGGAAAGATTCCTACTCAGTTTACCACAATGCAGCAGACTACCGATGTGGAAATGACTTGCACATCCCTCACTGTGAATTAAAAAAAAAAAATTCTCCACAGTGCGGACATAAAGTACATGCCTTTCCATCTACCACAGGGAAGTTCGAACGAGGCACCTAAGTCGTAATGGGCCTTAAGTGGTCCTCATCCACAGACAATTATAACAAGTTTTCACTTGGCTTTTTCATTGACTTTCTTAGGCATGTCTGGTTTCCTGTACCCGAACTAAATTAATGACTGCTCTTAACTCCGGNATGAAAACAGTTGCTTTATGAGGAATTAGTTCGTACCATTGAATATTTGACGCAATAGACAAGGTGTCGCAGAAACCGATGTTGCTATAACCAAGTTTTACTGTATAACATTCTTCATTTAATATTACCGAGAATCAATGTAAATAAAGTTCACAGTCACTTATAATCCAAATAAAAAAAGAAGACTAGGATTGATCAGCGCCAAATTTGCAATAAAAATTCTGATATGTTGTGCCTATGTACATGTAGCTGAAAAGTTCAAGAAAATGAACCGTTTCGTTGAAATCTGATATTCACATTTCTATATCTGTTAACTGTAATCAGCAGTTTGTGTGTAATGATTCAATCCTGAGTTCTTTGTTTATATCCATGCCCGGAATCTTCACAGTCCATTATAGCTGAATGGAATGAAGACAATACAGATCAGAACAGAGATTGTTCCTTCTTGTATATGTGAATTCTGCACTATTTGACTTACACTGTCATGCACCAGTTCTGATATTGTTCATTCATCCCACGAAATAATAACATTTTACTACGACTGTTTGCATTCTGTGCTGGATGCAAAGGAAATGGTTCCCTAAAGGTCTGTGACTATGGTTCATTCATTATACTAATATTGTGCTGGACATTGTCTGAGACATATTTGTACACCTTACATTTCTGAAATTGGGTATACTCCTGCCTGGTTGTCATTATACTGACATTTATACTGNAAATATTCACAGTCCATTATAGCTGAATGGAATGAAGACAATACAGATCAGAACAGAGATTGTTCCTTCTTGTATATGTGAATTCTGCACTATTTGACTTACACTGTCATGCACCTGTTCTGATATTGTTCATTCATCCCACGANTTGCAGCTAGCGTCTTAGACTTTGGTATATGGTAACTTGTTCCGTTATTCAGATGAATACAAACTGCTTCAAGTTTCTACCGTTTTTGTTTGTAATACTGGCCCCTACTCAATACTTCATACAGATTCTGTCAGTATTTATTAAGATATTTGTACATACATTAAAAAAAAATTATGACAGCAAGGAATTAAAGTTGTCCCTGTGCTTACCTAATTAAGCACCATGCCATGAAGACATATGGGGGTGTATATGTATAGATCCACAGCTGCACATGAAATATGGTTGAAGAGACTGAATAATACATCATTTAAATGAGGGTTGGTTCAAATTTAGTCATGTTTGTAAAGTCAACTAGAACTATTACGTTAATGTATACACTTTCATACGATTACTTACGTAATTGGTCTTCCTTCTTGCCTTGAGTGGTTAGGAGCAACACTCGGCTATCTATCTCCAGCTTATCCAAGCATCCTCCACTGTAGTACCAACATACAGTTATGAATCAGTGTTTCTAACACTACATCTAGATGCAACTTTAGTTTGGCAACAATAATACTGAACAGCATCGACATACATAAATGGAGCCATACAAATGTATGATATACAAGGTATAGCTGAAACGTTGGTGGAAAAATATGTATGTTAATCTTGAATGGGATTTGTCATGATTTTCATCATTTGGATTTTACAAATGTTGATGTGACACATTAGAAAACTGGCACTCACAGGCTTTATAATAATACCTATTTTAAAAACAAAATCATTCTAACATTACTAATATTTCTAGAATAACTATCACACCTTACTCCATCAAATTCTTCATCTGGATTTCTTGCAATCAATTTCACATAGTATGCATCTTCATGTGAAAGTGTGCGTACCATTTCATTTGATGAAAGCAGGTCCCGTAGAATTTTCCAAACCACGTTTTCTGTAACAAATTTTGAAAACACAGGAACTCAGGGGAAAAAAGAAGAAAAAAAAGCATAGTAGTTCTAAATGGCCTCTAAAATATATGAAATAGGGGCAGAAATGAGATAAGATTTAATGCGGGGTGAGGAAATACAGCCTAAATGTTGGATCCAGTTAAAATAAAACTGATCACCCACTTAGGGATTCTGCCTTAAATTCATCTAGGTATATATCAGTGAATAAACAGCACTCACTACGTCTCAGCTGCATTTCCCAAGGTCTGTTTCTAATGTGCTCCAAGGATTTTTATCTGTGTGCTGTTATTATACTAGCCACTGATTAATTCACTGTAACTTCTCATTTGCTAATAGTTTTGCAGTACACATAAAGCAAGAAAACCAAGTAACTGACAAGAAGCGCAAAGTTAAACACCACATTTAACATTATCTTGTATTTGGAATATCATTTTAAAAACTGTATGAAATGGCATACTCTTTTTTATAGCTAGTGGGGTGGGCCTAATTCCCTTGTACTACGGCCACTTATGGCCTATTGTACCAGCCCCAGATGATAGGTGAAGTTGATTGTGGAGCAATTGGTGGATCGAAGATTGGCAGGGAAAACAGAAGTACTCGGAGAAAACCTGCCCCAACGCCACTTTGTCCACAACAAATCCCACATTACCAGAGCCTCGATCGAAGATGGGCCGCCTACGCCTCCGCCGCGGTGGGAAGCCAACGACTAACCGCTTCAGCTATGACGCGGCCCTGCCGCATACGTTACTTCTGTATCTTGAAGCGATTCTTACGCACAGCAATTTGATGTTTCAAAGGGAGTCTTTTTTTTTACAAAATGGTTGCTGGATCTACGCCTCGTAACAATGTAACACAACACACTATTATATTTTAGCAATTATCTAAGTTACAGCTCAAACTTACACTGTTTAAATGAAGCTGACGCAATCAACGGCTAACTTTGATCACGTGACCACAGTAGTACCAACTCTAAGCAGGCAGACATGCATGCCCAGAAGGCAGTGTGACAAACCTAAAGATGTGTTATGGCGAAAGTGCGGATAATTTTTCACTTTCCCTCGTATTATCAGAAGGCTTGTGGCTTCTGAAATGGCACATCAACCTGGATACAGATCCAGAGGTCCGGGTTCCATTCCCGGCGCCACCAAGTAGTAGCAGAAGTAAAAGTCAAAGTCACATTGCGACTGACGGTCGATCAGTCAGTCAGATCTAAAGAAGGGTTTTGTTGTCAGGAAACTCCAGCGTGGTTTCAGCTCAATGGAGACCTGGTGTGAGCGCTGGAATATCAAAATTATTGAAAATAAAACTCACGGGATTTACTTCTCTCACAGTTGTCGACCGCCTGAGTCCCATCTTACCCTGAATCCCCTGAATGGGCGAAACATTCAAACTGTAAAAATGGCGGCAGTTGATGTTGACTGGCGCGAAGGGTATTTAAATTCCACCCCTGTCCTGGCAGACCCTTTAAACCTTATGTCGCTAAAATTCATGTAGTTACTTTTTTCCTAAACAACTTCAACAAAAATTGGTTTTTAAAAACGAAATTTTCAGGAACTAATTAAAATACAATATTTTATAGAATAAATGCCTTTCCATACCTCTTTATTAGTTTTTTTCGTGTGATAAACATTGAAACATGAAAGTTTGCAGAGAGCCACACCACAGCCTGCACACATGATACTTGTTTCTTTTCTAATCTTGTGCTTAGCACTCACGCGACACTTTCTCAGGGCACCATTCTTCTTGTTACTGGGAGGAACATTGACCATTTTGTGAATTTTCAAGCCTCCCTCTAGACGATTTACTGGCTCTTTCACTGGTGGTCTTTTCAAGGTCGAGGGCGGAGGCGTGACTGCACTCGAGTCTGACGCAATAGATTCGTCATCCACTTCATTCCTTGACTCTTCTCCCTCTCCTCCCTGTTTGTTTGGTTCAGTCATTTTTCTACACAGTCCAATATAAAATCTTTGAATCTGTAATTTCTCTTCTTGTATTTTTCGTTTGTTGTGTTCTTTTTGAATAGAATGAAACTATTCAACCGCAAAGACCTGTTTTGTCCATACCATGGGTGTGAAATTGGGGCCTAGTGGACAAATATTCTTCAATTTCAGGGCGTTTGTCGATTCCTGTCATGAACACAATTCCTAAGTATGTCCACATTTCATCTGATGTGACATAATTGTAATTGTGTTTTCGAGAGTGAGGAGCTAACTCATGTGTTTTGAAGTGCTGGTGAGCATAGCGACTGGTTTCAGTTGTGATGTGATTTACCAAGTCGTCATACAGAAAAAATTTTAATCCATGAAAAGGGATGCATTTTATATGTTATATCAATTTTGATCCCGAAACTATTAGCAAATGGAAATATTGGGGGTACAATGTCTCC